GCCAAGCCACCTTGTAAAACACCCAGGGASTGTGGGCAGATGCAAGATTAGCCCATCAGGTGTTATCCTCAATGGTCTTACACTTAACCTCTCAGCCCATAATGAACCATAATTCTTAGAATTGTGGTGAGCCAATTCATGCAGAACCCTCGTATACCTCACTGGGATGCAATTCTTAGAATTGTGAGGTATCTGAAAGGAGCTCCAGGCTGTGGACTATTGTATAAACCAAGAGGAAAACTTAAAGTAGTGGGGTATACAGATGCAGACTGGGCAGACTCAGTGAATGATAGAAGATCTACTACGGGSTATTGCACATTTCTTGGAGGAAATCTTGTGACGTGGAAGAATAAAAAGCAGACGGTTGTGGCCATAAGTAGTGCTGAAGCTGAGTATAGGGCCATGGCACATACTACCTGTGAGCTAGTGTGGTTGAGGAATCTTCTACAAGAAATTGGGTTTCACATGGATAAACCTATGAGACTGTATTGCGACAACCAAGCTGCACTCCATATCTCATCCAATCCTGTATTTCATGAGAGAACAAAGCGCATAGAGGTTGATTGCCACTTTGTGAGGGAGAAGGTCCTTGCTGGAGAGATAAACACAGAACATGTGGGCTCGAATGATCAATGGGCAGATTTGTTTRCAAAAGCTCTAAACTCAGGGAAAGTGAACCATCTATGTAACAAGCTGGGATTATATGACATATATTCTCCAGCTTGAGGGRGAGTGTTAGAGTGAGCCAAATAGGGGTAGTTTAGTAATCTCATGTCAGTTAAGTACTTTGCTTATGTKGCTGTTTTATTAGAGTACTCTGCCCCACTAAAATTCTTGTAACATCGTTGCTCCCTTTAATATCTGGAGTAAGGGGGTGATAGACATTGAATCCATTCCTTATATTCTTCATGCAGGCATAGTACTCTTCTAGTGTTTTGGTTCCTTGTTGTAAATCAAAATACTCCTGATAAAGCTGATACACTCTTGTTGTGTTATCTTGTCCAGAATATAGCTTCTTAGTATGCTCCCATATATCCTTAGCCGTATCAAGGAACATGAAGTTGGCACTAATTTTGGGTTCCATACTAT